GGACATTTTAAGCACTTTGTGAAATTAGCAGGTATGTGAAAAAAGTGATAAACAGAGAATGAAGCCACTTCCTTGCTTTCACTCATTTGCTTCCCAAACAGGAATATTTTTTCCTTTTTTTTTTTTTTTTTCCAGAGAGGGTCTTCCCTTCTTTTTTAAACGTTCATTTGAAACCTTTACAGTGTGCCAGTATTTAAAAAAAATATTACGGAACATTTACACAATAAGCCAGTCACCCATCCTGTCATTTTCCACATCCCCATTGTAATTATTTGAAATCCTTATGCTTGAAGACGAGTTCTTCTCCCTCCCAACCCAATTCTATTTTCGGAGTAGACTTGTAATTGTGTGTTTGTTAATATAGCTGTCTGTTGCCATGAACAAAGTGAGGTCACCAATTTTCTATTACAGCTTTGCCACAGAGTTAAAGACTGTAAAACAGCTAGCTCTTACTTGAATGCACCATTTTTTTGTTTTATATTGTTTTAGTTTGTTCTGCTATCAATCCAAATGGTATCTAGGGTAAATAACTGACATGAACTAATGCATATTTTGATAGTCTGGAGTTATTCCTGGTGTTATAGTTTGCATGTGACTTCTGTATTTAATATTCTATGCTCACATGTTCTCCATTTAAGACTTGGCAAGAATTTTCCTGGAAGTAAATTGAGAATTAATGTGTATGAAGCATTCTTAAAATGCCTTATTTATTTAACTCAATGTTATTTGCTTAGAAAAAGTTAATCTGATTACAGATTATGTTATATTACTGCTCAAAATATGTATATTTTGAATTTTTATTTATGCACTTTTAAAACTTTTGTGGAGTCCATACAGATCACTGTAATTTATTTTATCAATGCACCGTCAATGCTAAGGTTTAAAAGGCTGTTACAGTTTCTTCTGTCTCTGGTATTTTTGTCTATTTGTCTTAAACTCTTAGAATATTTGTTTTATAATTTGTATATCCCAGAATGGACGAATGAATTGAAAACATAAGGCAGATTGCTAATAAGAACTGTCATGGCATGAGAAAGAACTTCTTCCCTCTGAGGGTGACGGAGCACTGGCACAGGCTGCCCAGGGAGGTGGTGGAGTCTCCTTCTCTGGAGATATTCAAGACCCGCCTGGACAAGGTCCTGTGCAGCCTGCTGTAGATGACACTGCTTCGGCAGACGAGTTGGACTGGGTGACCCACAGAAGTCCCTTCCAACCCCTACCATTCTGTGATTCTGTGATTCTGTGATATGGCTAGCTTGAAGTCAGCAAGTGAAGTCAGCAAGTAAAGTCAGTATGGCTGTGACAATTCAGAGCAGCCAAAGGTTTGGCTCAGAACACCTGTACATCTTCAGTACTTTACATCCTTACTAAACACATTATTTATAACTTGAAACTAACAGTTTCAACAAGGCTGAAGATGATTAACACAGACTCACCAACAGGAGCATGGAGAGAAAAAATATTTATAATATGAAATTATATTT